AAAGTTTTTCTTCATTACCCATACAAGCCGTCTCCAACCATTATCTACAATGTATGCTCGCATCATTTGGTAACTTGAACTATATGTCTGCTGTGTAATTTGTAGCTTGTATGGCAGGATTATTAGTTAAACATGGTTCAAATGGCAATAAAACAATAGAAGCAAGCATAAACAGTTATGTGCTGCAAGTAATCCAATTGGTAATGAATGGTAATGGGTAATGAAGAAAAACTTTAATATAAGTTTAACATAACAGCAAATGTACAATTTCCTTCAGTATGAAATTCAGTTTAAACTTATAAATCTATACTATCATAAACAGATACTTACATGTTTTTAGTGGGAAAAATTCTACTTTAAAACCAAAATTATGTGGCATACAATTATAATAATAACAAGTTTTCTAGGATTTGAAGATTTTGAAATTCATATTTATCATGGTAATGTTTTTCTTTGCTCTTTACGTTTAGAGCTTAAATGGGTGGGGTAAATATACCCAACAGTTTCATGAGCAAATCTATTTAAACTATATACAATACTACTTTAAAACTGGGCTGAAAAACACTTACATGATAGTAGAAAACTCATCATTAACAAGAATCATGTCAGCAGCTTCTTTTGACACATCGGTTCCAGCTTTTCCCATAGCAATTCCAATGTCTGCTTTTTTGAGAGCAACCCCATCATTTACACCATCTCCCGTCATCCCCACAATACCACCATTATTTTGAAGTGCCTGTTAGCAAGTACACAGGCATGAAAATTCATCTTAAGATTATGCACAGACAGTCAACTCTAACAAACAAAAATCAAACAGTATCAAGTTTCTAAAAAAACAACTTAGAATTCAACAGTTCTTGGTAGGAGAAAGGTAAAAAACAGTTTGTTGACAAATAACTAAGCAAGGATGAATTCAGAAGTCTAGGAGAAAACTACAATGAAAAATATACTTTCACAGGTTATCAAAAGTTTTGGTAACAGGAGGATCTGATACATTTCTTAGAAACCTAGGCCAAACACTTTGATTCAATCTGAGAGTGGTTGTTGAAGTGTTTCCATTTGTCTATATCTAGAGTTATTCACTGACATTGCCATTTTTGTTAATCTAAGATATACTTATTCCTACCACCAGTAAGATGCAGATGTGCAGGGAGGAGTAAACAGCTAAACTATAAATGATACACTGGAGTTCGTCATACAGCATATGCAGTCATATACATTTATTTTATGAGTCATCCATGCTATGCCACAGCAGTACAGCCTGGTATACAGATCACAATTTTAACCTGCAGTAATTTTGGCGTGTTACATACATATGATCATAATTTGATAGGTTGTGATTTTGGTGTCAGCAGACAGTGACACCTGCCATCTTCTGTCGATAATCCTCATGTACTGAGCAAACTTTATCAAAATAAGTACCAATTTGAAAGTTTATTGATAAAGTTAAGCATGCATCACAGACACAAAGATATGATAAGTAAAAGATAAAAAACAACAACAACAAGGTCCAACAACTAGGTACCAAGACATCAAAAACCACAAGGTCCTGAAATGTAGATATATAAAAAACAATAAGATCCCAAGTTGTAAAAAAAGATGTAAAAAAAACACAAGGCGTATTGAAATACCCAGAGATTACGTAGGTATGTTTCTATTATAATTGACCAATAGGAAAATGGCTGGTGGGTATTGTTGTCTTTATAAAACATTCTATTGCAGATGATTTTTTATGATATTGTTTTTTTATAAATTAATATAATTTTCTCTATAAAAGATGTTTACACATACTTTAGTTGTACAAGTAACAACACAAAGTGCTGAGTAAGCAGAAAGCCAGTTGCATTTTCTTCAGACTATCACAGTTATTAATTTTTCAACTGGTCAGTTGAATTTATTGACAATCAGTCAAAAAATTAAATGAAATGTAGTCATACCCTACATATTAGTCTACAATTTAGAAAATTTAAAAACCAAAATACTGGGATTTCCACTTAAGTCAAAAGTCTTATCAACAGCTTTTATTTTTTATGTTGGAGCTGTGGTTTCTAGAAGACATAACCATCTTCTTAACTGCAAAAGAGAATGATCTTCAACATTTTATGAAAAAACACTGGACCCAAAATATTACTCTGATACAGTATAGCATCAAATGAATACATATTTAGAACAAGTTTCGTCAAACCCTGGATTATAACTTTTTCCCAAAAAATCCAATCACATATAAATTCAAATGGAATTAATCCTATTCACAACATCTTTCATGACGTCTTAATTTTAAGGTAAGTCCTGTTCATTTAGTTGAGAAGAAATGATCACATGGATGCTAATAGAGTAACTTACGATTGGAAAATCACTGATGTTTGGTGCTATAAAGTGTATGATAGGCGTTTTTATTGAAAAACAAGTGGTAACTTGTAGTCATAAGAAAAAGACTTTTAGGTACAGTAAATCTACTCTTCCAAATCTGGCCTGTTATATTACTCAGTTGTATTCTAGACTTTAATTTTTGGAATAACTTCATAAAAACATCACTGAACTACCTAACTAGCAGGTTTACTAGATTGTTCAGTAACAATCTACCAAAACAGTAATCAATTTTGCTTTCTTTAGCATAACCTTCCAAGTTATATTATTCAACAAACACATGAATTCATAGCCATGACACATTTTGTACTCACAAAAATAAACAATGATAACTAGAGATGGGTGATTTAATTCATTTACCTATGATCACTGATTACATCAATTAGTATCATGTAAAATAATTAATCAAAATAACATTTTAACTGATTAATGTCATGAAAATAAAAAAATTCAAATTTATATTTTGAAAAAGGTCTCATGATTACTATACCATGTGTTTGATGCATCAGTGTTTCAGATATGATAACTTTTATAAGTTATTAATTTTTATTAATGCAAAGTCAGAGTTGGCCAAAACAATGTCACTAGCACTTAAAAGGTTAAGTAACAATGACCACATTATAAGTATTAAAACAAAGTTTGACAAACAATGTAATATTTCTAAAACTTTACATCTAGAACATTTCATTTACCTTCTTTGAATGTAAGAAAAATCTTGAAAATAACGTGTATCATAAAGAGTTAGAAATCATATATACATTCTTTAAATTTGAATCAGTTCAGGAAATATGGAATACAACACATTACTTTCAGTGGACAGAGAAATTTTGCACATACATATGGTGATAAGCCAAAATCTGGAAAGTTATGGCATACTTTTGAACTAAACAAACTTTTTAAGTTTAATATGCATACCTAAATAGCAAACAGAATTACATGAAATTCGTGTAGTTTCTTTACATTTGGTAGTTATCACAGAGTAAAATCCTGAAGTATGGATAGAGTGAACATATCTTGACATGCAGTACAATAAACATGCTGAACATCCTAAAATATAGTATGATAAACAGTATAAGCATTCTTTATCCTGAAGTTTGATACAATACAAACTAAACATCCTGAAGTATTGTATGATACAGATTAGGTAAGTTATGATACAGATTAAAAATCCTGAAGGGTGATACAATGCAAACTAAACATCCTGAAGTATGGTAAGATAGACTAAACATCCTGAAGTGTGATACAATACAGACTAAACTTTGTGAGGTATGGTGTAATACAAATTAAATATTCTGGGATATGGTGCAGTACAGACTAAACAAGCAGGGTCATATACAAAAATACTAGGATTAGAAATACAAGTCTTTACACATTAAAAACCATGTTTTTGTTTCAATTCATGTTTTCCAGGTATTCTAATATTTTCTTTTTTCAGAATGTATTTTTGTGATCTGAATAGGTGCTTGATTAATAATATTCATTAAGATAATCATAACTTTTAGTGAATTGATTAAATTTTTACGTATGTAAAAATCTGAGGTTTTTGTGTAACTGAAATTAAGTTAAACAGCCTCGGCAATATTCACAAATTTTATTGTAATCTTTTATTTTGGTTAAATAAATTATGAATAATACCACACACCAGCAAATGAAAATAGTATAAGAGTGGTTTCTGTCCAAAGTTGAGTTATATCTATAGTCTTGCAATAAACCTTTGAATTGGTATCTTTTAAAATTAAATTTTGTCTGATTGCATCATAGCATAACACATGAAATTTTCATACCGATGTTCCAATAATGTTTCATTACCGTTAATGATACATTCTGTTTTTATTGAATTTAACCTACTTATGCCTATGCCCAGACAAATTTCACACACATTTGTAATTATATACTAACAGCCTTTCAAGAGTTCTAAACTTTGCAATACTACAAATAAGGAGAGATAAGCAATTGCATAAAATCACATAATTTAAATAAAAACCTTTCACTTCCAAAGAACTTGCCTTAACAATCTTAAGCTTATGTCTCGGTCCAACTCTATAGAACACTGCTACACTGTTGATCATATGTTCTAAATGACCACCATGCATGTTATCCATCTCGTCTCCAGACAATGATACACTCCCAGTTGCATATAAACCAAGTCGAGCACCTGGGAAAAACAGAAAGAAAATAAAATTTCATCTGTAACGGTTCTTGCAGTAATGGTGGTAATATTTAAATTTCAAACTTTTCAGTGATAAACTAATACAAAGATAGTAGAGGAAAACAAACAAACTGATGAACACTTTTTAAGTCTTGCCTTTATTCTGCATCAGTAAGTACCTTTATTCTACTGTGGGCATTATTATGTTATTATATCATTATTAAGATAAAACTGTTGAGGTCTATCACCCACAAGATTATTTGCATACCAAGTACATGACTCACTGCCTATGAAAGTTTGTCAAGCATTTCAACTTAACATAAGACCACCTTGCATATTAATAATAGGACAGGTATTTTTTTTCTATTATTATGAGTACCAGTAATAAAAAATATTTCATTATCTGATAAATAACAGATATATAGAGATGGAGATATCATGAAACAAAATTTGGTAATCCACAACTGTTTTGAGCAAATCCAGAGTTGATGATGATGGGAGTTTTACCCTGAAAATGGTCGATCCAAGAGAAGTGTCTCCTAAAAAAATCATTATTTTCAGTTAATAATCGAAGCTACAGGACACTGAGAGATTAAGGTATTCATAAGAAAGACTGTAATGACATAACAGCAAAGCAAAATTAGAACAAAAAACAATTTCTTTAGACATTTTGAGCAAAAAAAATGTAGATCAAGCATTTTGACCATAAATGAATAACAAAGATATTATATGCTTCACCCCTGTATAGTTTATCATTTCAAATAGAAATCTTACTGCATTAGAAAGCTACATAACTACTGAGGAAGATATTAGCTTGTGTCAAAATATATGACAGGTTTTTACTATTGGTTTAATAAAATTATTTTATTTTAACCATTTGTGTTTTAAACTTAATTTTACCTGATATGTTAGTAAAGAGGCTGTTATTGTTAAAGTGACTGAAACTAATATTTACACCTACAAAACACAACATGTACATAAGTAAACCATTAGGCAGACAACACAGCTAATTAATGTAATGTTACAACTATTATGACACATGGTATCTAAACTGTCTTTATATGATTAGCCTGTAGACAAATTTTCAGCAGCATTGGATGAGAGAAGTATTAGACTTATATTACAACTGTTCTCCACAAAAATGAATAAGATAAAAAAGTCATAATATGAGGAAAGTGTGTGGAGTGCTCAAGTCAAACATTAAAACACCAAAAATCAAGAGGTAAATTAAGGTAAAGCAACTAAGTATGCCACATAAACAAAAGATTATTAAGTGAATGACAAATGAAAACGGAGAAGAAATGCCAACGTTTTGAATTACGACTAAATATATTTGTGCTTGCATGTAGTAAAAAACTTTGTGTAAATGATAGAAACAAAATTTAATGGAGATTCACTTATAACCAAGGCTGTTTAATAATAAAACCAAATTGAGAAGACCGACATCATGTGACTTTAAGCTTAGACTTACTGTAATGTTTATTTTATATATATTTTGATTTAGTTCAATTTGACAGTATTTTGTCTTACTATTTTATATATTTTTTACACAACTTGGCATTTAAATTTTTTTTTAAATCTATGCAAATTTTTAATTGGAACCTTATGATTATTAAAATGTATATAGAATATAATGAGACAGAGTAAACAAGTTATACACATTCATAGTTTAGTTCTTCACGTTTTGATAATGTGCTGGTTTTGAAATGTTCACTCTGTTTTAATCTGTACTGATTGAACTGATAACTGCTTTAGCTTGTTGTTGTTTTTTCACAGTCACTAATTTCTTCTGAATTGAATACACTGTGGTTAGTTTGAAAAATATAGATGAGTCTATAATAAATTATATTTAAGCTTACTCTCTGAATAATACTAACTCTTATACAAATTTAAATGAGATCTGTATCACTAATTCAACAAAAGTTTCATAATGTACAACTTTAAAAACAAGTCAAAACCTGTTCAACAGCTTAAATAGCCTCCAAAAGAATGAAACATTTCTCATCATGCATGCTAAAACCAAACATAAATTAATCATCAACTTATAATACAGATATAATATAAATACCTATGGCACATGCTGTTTCTTTTGAGTCTCCCGTTAACATTTTAATGGATACTCCACTACTGTGAAGAATGTGGATGGAGTCTCTGACACCTGGTCGAGGTGGGTCAAACATACCAACCATTCCGAAAAATGTCAATTCATTTTTTTTACTGCCAGCTCCCATAGCTAAAACTGGAAATTTTAAAGTAATTCATGAATTTTTAATACCATCATGTAACAAGAGATACAAATTTACTGTTTCATTAACCCTTTGCCCACCAACAGGTTTCTGAAATATCAAATTAAATTCTATCCTAACCAAAAGTTTAAAAAACTGCCTATTATTTGAGTCGGTAATCCAACAACTTGAGATAATGTGACCAGATATGTGTCTATGATACAAATCTAAAAATTAACAAAAGTATGGTATATTTCGATTCAGATGAAACAAGAACATAATTTATAAAATGTTATCTTTAGAATAAAATAGTTAAATAAAAACTAAAAAAATATTAAAGTACTATATTCAAACTTTTATTTTGCTTGAACTCTTTTAGCTTTACTGACCTAAAAATAACAAGAAGTTTTGGAGGGAAATATATATAGATAAACAGTTAATGCAAGAATACTGACCTCTTAAGCCTTTCCTTCCCATGTATTGTGCTGCCTGAATGTACTTCATTTCAACTTCCTTATTTAAAAAAACATTTTCACCGTTATCACTATAATATGTACAATGAGATAAAACTCTTTCAAGAGCTCCTTTCACAAAATATTTTTCTTCTTCTTCCTGTAAAAATAAAAATGACTCCTTAGTTAATAATAAATAAATCCTTTAATAATGAACAAACACTGAAATCTGAGGTCATATTTTGAATAATAAAACATAAAAAAAACACATTTTCTTCATTCTAAGGCTAAATGCTTACAGTAATCTTAAATATTTTGTGGACAACAGAATAGTAAGTTAGTCTCATTTATATTAATTTGAAATAAAAAGAAATATTTTTTTGTTTTGTCATTATTATTGTGAACTATAAAAAAATTAATGTCAGCTTAAAGTCTCTCTAATAATAAATTAAATTTTATCTAAAAATATTAGTCCAATACTTTACTTTTTAAACTAATATACAACTTTTAATATGTTCATTTATTTCAATAGTATTTGAATTTAATAAACAAAAACATGGTCAAACATTGGTACATATTTTAACACCATAAAAGTTTATTCAAATTTGCTCAATTATATCTAGACACACACTTCACTATATCATTTTCTACACTTTCAGACCTGAACAAAATGCATTTTTGGATCAAATTTCTGTGCATATTTCACATTAAGATCTAAAATTCTAAATTTACTTGATCACTCTTCTGTATACACTTCACCACCTATATATTTTGTTCTAAGCTTTACACTTCACCACTATGATCTTTTGTTCTTAGATTACCTGATCAAACTTCCATATAGACTTCTCCATTATGATCTTTTGTTCTAATTTTAATCTGATCAAACTTTCGTATACACTTCATCATCATAATCTTTTGTTTCAAATTTACCTGATCAAACTTTGCACACTTCACCAAAATGACCTTTTTTCTAAATTTACCTAATCAAATTTCTGCACATTTACAAACATGACTTTTTTTTTTAAAAACTCACCAGATCAAACTTTTGTTTACACTTTACCACCATGATCTTTTGTTCTGAACTGAATGGGAACTCTTGTACTCTGTGATAGCACTCTCTAACACCAAACATATTGAGCTGCAATTAAAACAATATTTTCAGTTACTGTTTCCATCAAAAATATAAATCAGCAAACGCATGAAATCTGAAACAATTTCACACACACACACATAGATTTTTCTATAGCATAAACGTCTCTCCACTAACATAAAAATGATTTTTACAAAATTTTGATGCACAACATTAGTAATATCTAAAGATTAAAATAAAAATAATAAAGTCAAAATGACTCATGAATGATTTTCTTTATATAAAATTGTTTGCTTTAAGAAAATTATATGGCATTTCATGTTTAACATGTCAACATTTAAAAACTAGTTACAAATGTAGAAAAACAAATTAAATTATCACACCAAAATCATTGAAAATGGATACAGCAACAAATATAATAATCATAAAATGGACTTACTGTAATTTAATTTCACTCTTTAATCAAATTTTGTTCAAATATTACTTCACCTTCCTTAATAAAAATTGTTTTAATTCTAGAAATATGAATAAAATATTTACTTTTTGAGCAGCAGCTATTATTGCACCCTCAGTTGGCTGGCCTCTTAGTTGAGCTCCGATAATTGTTGCATTGTTGCATATACATCCAACCTGAAAATGCAGATACACTAATAAAAAAAATAATTCCACTTATTTAATAGTTCACACTAAGATAACCAAGTTTTATCATAAGTAAAGTAGTACTTACAGTATGAATACATGCAACACAAACTATTTACTCATATACACCATTAACAATCAATTAATAAATCTTCAAAAGTATTTGTGAGACACCCTTAGGTGGTAAACAAATCACATACAAAGTTACAAATCATAGAACCACTTGAGAAAGTCAGCGGAACAGATACAAAAATTCACACAACCATACATTTCTCAATCTCACTGACATTGTTGATCACTTTTAGCTGTGTAACAGACAGACTTACCAAAGTTATAAGTGCACCAAAAAGAACAACAGCACAAGGACCATGTGCTAATGTAATAAAGTTAAACTAATTAACTAGGTTATTAACCATTAGTATATGCACACAACCACAACTCAAACTACATCACCCAAATAACACTGCATACTATAGTGTGCCATCACATGTACAGCACACATGCACTGTCACAATGTGTACACACACACCATAAGTAAAGAGAATACACACCAGACACGCATGCACCATTATTTGCACATACCATAATGTTATGGTGCACACCCACACTGATGATATACATATAGGATATCAACACAAATAAATGAATAATGCATGAGAAAATGTCACCCTGTATGGAAAAAGTGCATGAAGAAGTGGAAAAAATATTTTAAGAAATTGAAAGTGTAGGAATGGGTGCACCGAAAAGTGAGGAAACAAGGTAGGAATGGACATGATGTAATAAAGCTTCCTCTGTACAACCTCACAATGGGGTGTACCCAATATCTAGTCCATTCCTACTTCATTTTTTTTTGTGTCCATATGGGTACATACAGAAGTGTATCTATGATTCTTCTACTTTTGTGTACACAGAATGACTCCAAAACTTTGAAAAACAGAAACCTCTTAAGTCTTTTTTACCTTTGTATTTTAATCCACTAATATAACTAATGTATGAAAGTTAACATTTTCCTAAACTGAAAATGTATTTGATACTAAGATAGGGACAAGCTGTAACGGGAAAAAAAAAAAAAAAATTAAGGTGCCCACGTGAATATCTGATTCTTCTAGGGTAGTATAAACAGATTTTACAGTACATGTATTTCTTTCTATAATTCAATTCACAGAAACTAGTCATTGTATGACTAGATAGATATACTTCTGTAGGGTCCCTGAAAGTGTTCTGTTTTAAGAGTAATTGTCACAGACTGCATAATTCTTTTCATGATTCGTGGCATGCACGCATTAACCATCCCTTACATGACATCATTTTAGTGTCTACTGACTGACAGACAACACACTACTGTATAGTAGTGCAAGAGGTTAAAAAAGCTAAAAGGCATTTACAAATACTGATAAACTAATTAAAAATTATATTCCAATGTTCATATACAATGGTGCACTTTACAGTGGTCCTTATTTTTGAAGTTTTGATTTGCACCACTCTCACCCACTCATTTTGTTCCAATATAAATAAGTAATTCACACCAAGATTTACCCATATTGAACGACATTTAGGGTTTGCTCAAGGTAATTGAAATTACCTTGTAGCTCACATTATATCTGTACATTCTGAATATTCTAGAATGTTCCAGAATATTCTTAATAATTCTGGAAATTTCTAGATTATTCTGGTATGTTCTAGTATATTATTATAGAATATTCTAGTATTCAGCCTTGATATGATGATCTCAATATCACTTCCATGAAGAACTTTTCAAAAACTTAAAGGAACAGTTCCAGCCAACAGTCTCACTTGTAGTTCACTGAGATGGCAAGCTCCTTAATGATCTCACAAGGAAAGAACAAGTGGATCATCTGCCAGTTATCTTGTCTGAAACAGGAGTAAACCAAAGTTGATTTCTATCACTGTAGAGGTTCAAGCTTCAGCTGTGGCACATTTGCTGGAAGACTGGGAGTCATTGATCATGTAAAGGCAGTTTGCTTTGACACAATGGCAAGCAATATTGGTCACAGAAATAGAGCATATGTGCTGTTAGAACAAAGATTAAACAAGAATCTCCTGTATTTGCCATCCCAGCATCATATCTTAGAACTTCATGGCAAGTGTTTTGAAAGACTATATGGGGCTTTCCTCTGGTCCAGATATTGCAATTTGCAATCGATTCCAGCAATCTTAGGAATACGTGGACCAGTCCAGTTATGAACCTCCAGCTGACCATGATGAAGTAGCAGAAGCCTTGGAGGAAGTACAGTGTCATTGAATTTGCTACAAGACAACTTCAGGTTAGCAAATCTAGATATGATCATTGAGAGTTTTTTGAACTAGTTCTGACCTTTCTTGGTGGCATCCCACCTTGTAAAGTGCAATTTATAGCTCCTAGAGCACTGCATCATTTACAACAGATGGTCAAGACATTATATGTTCTCAAGATATGGATGTTTATGTGATAGTTTAAGTCCTGAGAGCTCAGAAAGGACTACATGGAGGTACTACAGACAGTCCAACACTTGAATGTGGTACATGACAATGCTGAAAGGTGTATGGTCTATATTGAGGAGTATAATACCATCATAACAAAGAAAGAAGGACAGAAAAAAATCCTCCTTCAAATTGTGCAGAATCACAGAAGATGCTTTGCTAATAGTAAAGAGGAAACAATAACAATGCAAAAGTGGCTAACCACCCCAAAATCATATAATTATACTATTATACATGCAAAACATTAATAATAATAATATACTTTAAATGAATTATTTATAATACATAACAGATAAACTTTTTTTATCACAAAGTTCATATAGTAACAGGCCACTGCAGTCTGGAGCTTCAACCACACTGTGCAACCTCTGAATATGGTTCAAAATGGATGAAGTTTGACATTAAGGTTTGTTTGTACATTGGAACCAAATCAGTAGATGAGAGCTTCAGAATGTTTAGTCTGAAATTTTACCAGCAAATAAGGACCACTCTAGTGCATATTTGGTGGAACAGACCACTTTTCCTCTTGTAAAACAGATTCTTCGAATGAGTTTGGGGTCTTTTTCTTCTGCCCATAAGGTAACATGTTAAGAAGACAATAGTGTGCTTCAACCAGATTCATTAGAATCAAACTATTTCTGGACACATTTGCCAGTATAAAATGATGCATTATCATGCTAAAAGAAGTATAGTCATTTCCCACAGAATTCTATCAATGCAAGCAGTGCAGAATTGCCATAATATGATAAGACATTCATGGCTCTCTCAACTATCATAAATGGATCAAATCCAAACTAGTTAAACATCCTCATAATAACTCCATAACTTTTATGGTTTGTTTTGGATATAAACACAAAGCTATACAAGTTATCTAGCTAGCCCTCTCTAATTTTGAACTATTGACAAGCAGCTAGTTGACAACACCCACTATTAACTCTTGGGTTACTCTGAATAAATAGTGGGATTTGATCATCATGTTTATAATGCACCCATAGTATGCAGAACACATTTTTTTAAAGCAATGAGACATAAACCATGGATTCCAGATTCACAGTCTGGAATGCTAATCACATGGCTACTTCCAATCATGGTCAAACAGTCATATACATATATTAATGTCAGAGTCAGGCCCACCATTCCAAAGTTGACAATAAGCATAACATGATTTTTGTAGCCTTCAATCTTATTAGTTTACAAAGTCATAAACTAAAAAATCAGACCCACTTTCCACACCCATCTGTCCCATCCACACTTTCCCAAATTATCAATGGCTCTCTCTGACATTAAATACTATATTATTTATAACCAACACAAAGCCAAACTTTTAATCTATCAAATGACATAGTACATTACATTGTTTCCTGTTCAGAGAATTGACTATTTTACTTCCAGTTCAAACTTTATTCTCATAGGAATCATATTAATGAGCTTAGCTGAATTTTTAATGGCTCTTATTGCATAGTTAGAAAGCCAGGAAAATTAGGAAAGTTATAGGACCTTGCTTTTCATGTGTTATTAATCTATGTTCTTAGGCACATTATTTAATTAACACTTTTAATATGGGCGTGGTCAAATTGACTGACAACGTGACCTTTTTGTACTTGTATAAAGTCTTTATAGATTTAATACTTATAACTCTCAATATATTGGGTACATCTTAACAACATTTGGCAGTCTTTCAGTTAATATTACAAGTCTTTCACATACAAAAACTCGCATCTCTTAGTGAAGTATTTTAATAAAATAAAATAAAGATTTATCCATGAATATATTGAGTATTTGTTTTGAATAGTCCATGTGCAAAGTAAATTTCATGTTAAAATTAACAATACTTTTCCTCATTTCAAAAATCTCAAATTTCCTTTGTGTGATCCCTAAAACCTCTTAAATGCATTTCAAACATTTCTTTCTAGAATGACTTCAAATTGTAACTTGAAAATACATTCATTTATTCTAAGTAGCTCTAAGTTTGTAACATTATACACCTATTTATAATTAAATTTTATTGTTTTATTGCCCTTTAAACTGCATCTAACTACTATCCCTGCCATTATAAGTTCTAAATCATTCGGGGAACACGCAGCTCACGTTATGCTATCGAATTACATTACCCACAAGCTGCTTGCGTGCATGCCTCATGAACTATTTTAATTATATTATTATTACTTATTTTACCTAATCTATTATTAAATAATTTAAAAAGATCTGTATTTTTAGATTTTAGTTACTTTTACAATAATAAATAAAGAATAAATATGAAAAACAAGAAATAAAGTACTTACCTAATGTTCTTTTTTCTTGCTTTTGGGTTTTGAAGAGAGTTAACCCTAAGTTTTTTATAGTACTGCACTTAATAATTTTTATTTAATTAAATAATGCACCAAAGAATATAGACTAATAACATGCAAAAAGTATACAAATTCACTTATCTCCCAAAAGCTGTTACAACTTTATCCAAGCTAGTCATTAACTTTGGAACGAATCTTGTACTGTGAGTGAAATAGATGATATTCTGTTCAGAATACAATGTTATATACATCATTGGATAGATGAAAACCTTGACTTTCTATTGGTTATAAGTAATATATATATAATGAAATCTAAGAGAGAACTATCAATGAATTGTGAAAGAGAGGATGTGACAGGTGGGTGTAGCAGGAGGGGTCTGATTTTCTATTCAAAAATTGAAGACTATAAAAATTATGGTTTGTGTGAGCAATAACGATTTTATAGAGAGTAATTTACATTTAATTTTGTTCATTTTTGAGGGGTGATGGATAAAATAGGGAGGATGACATGCTAAGACAAAATGTGTCATATGGGTCACACTAGTGGAAATTCAGAATTTCTTTAATATTCCCTTGCAGAATTAAGAACTTAAAATTATTAGCTAAGATCTTATGTTATTCTAATTAGTATAACATAAACAAAAAATAGTATAATTAAATTTTGAATGTAAGACACTAAAACCTTGTGTCATGTTCAGTAAAGGATATCTGGGGTGATAGTTTTAAACTGGTGCTTTCACGTTTTGTTTACCTTTCTTCATTTCAAACTAATTTTCAAACCTTAGAGTACTTTTATTGTTAATTTTCAGTGATCTGGTGCATTAATTGAACCATCAAAGTGCTGGATTGAATTTTACTTCTTAACTTCCAGTCCTTTATGGTAATAAAGAAATTGATTGCCTAAAGTGAACTGGGACTTGACCTGATGACTTTGATTCACTTTTACATATAAAACAATGATCTTTACTTCTTACTGTCTTTATTTTCCATTATTACTTAGAGAATGGGTTTCCATCACTACTTGGAGGGCCAAGGATGGCCCAGGTAGCTAGTGTGCTGGAATGCGAATCTGAGGCTCACTTCCCATTACTGCCTATTCTCCATCATCCTCTGAACTAGCATATATCTTTGGCATTTGTAGGCTTCAAGCTACTTATGACATAATGTGTTTTTTGTTTTATTGTCTTCTTCCAATGATCTGACAAATGCTAGGGATATAAAACAAACATTATTTTCATAGGGATCATTATATATCTACTTTTAGACAACAGCAGTTCTTTACTGATAAAAAGGCCAAGATTGTTTGTTAATTGCACTAATCAGAAGTCAAGTCCTGATGATATTATCCTGCAAACAATTATTTATAAATACCAGGAGTTATTGACTGAGGAGTTGCCTGCTCCTTCTGTTAGAGATGGCTTATCTTGTATGTATGTGATCAGCTGAGACAGATTTTCCTCATTTATTCTCATCAGATCTTCCACCTTGCTGTGTCATAAGCTGTGACTGCTAGAAGATCTTCATCAGTCTACTTTCACAAATTGTTACCTCCATTGCCAGATGGTTATCATCACCCTCCTCTGGTGGTAATGTGTCATCTTCATCAGTGTTAATCAAGTGAGTGTATTTTGCTTCATCTATATATGTTTGGATCTCTGCTTGAAAAAGCACGTTACATTGTTCCTTTACCTTGGTTATTTAATTGCTGGGTAGTTTGACTCTATTTCGTTTATGCTTAGCCTTGGGGGTTTGTTTGGTAGTACTGCTTACTTTAACATTGTTTGGCTATACAATAATTCCAAGCTATCCTGCCACTTGAACATCTTCCTAAATATCTCAGTATGTTGTCCTTAGATTGCCTGGTGGGGTCATCATGAAACCAGTATGGGTATTTTGTACTGTTCGATAAATCTAGCCATAATGCGTTCGACAGAGGTGTTAGTCCTATCTCTGAGGCTTTTGAATCTATATTGTAGCTTGTGTTGGGAGTTTTTAGAGAAACGAGGCTGTTCTTTTCAATTTCCTGGCTTCTGTTAAGTGTGTGTGGGGGTTATTATATTTTTTTTACCATCTTCAAAATGAAATTTAATTCAAAGAGATGCCTCTCCAAAACGGTACCTTTCTCATTCCATGCCAGTGAGTTTTGTAGAAAATGTGACTGTAGAAGATTATGTAAATGCAAGACAAATAGAGATAATTCTGTATGAGAAGTGATGATTAACATAGAGGTTTGTGTGGGTTTCATATTTGTTGTTTTGAACCTAGGTAATATATATATATATAGAGAGAGAGAAAGAAACGGTGCAATTGATGGCACAAACAAGTTATTTGTGGATTTTATAGTAAGCTGTGCTAGTGAAACTGTATAGAAATTCAGACATGGGTTTTCCTAAAAAGTATAATGTTTTTTAAAAAAGCATCTCAACCAAGAATTATTGATGTTGAAGATGATGATGTTCATAACTAGTGGGACATGCAGTTTTAAAACATTTGAAATACATTTGGGAACATGTTTTTATTGGTGTATTTTCTGTGTATAATCTTTTATTCCTGTTAATTTCAGTTGTTCTATCAGCTATGTTTACCTGCTACAAGACAGGCTGCACTTCCAGTAGCTGCTTATTTCCTGCTGTCTTACACACACTCACCAGCTTTAGTTAAGAAAGTAAGTGAATTTGTTTTCTTTTAAAAATATTGTTGGTTTTGCATTGGTTAAAGCTGGGTAGAAATGAAATGTAAAACTTAGTGATAATTATTGAAGTTTTATATGTTTATAAGTTTTCTTACTTAAGCTATTCATAAAATATTAAATTTAGATTATCATTTTTCAACTTAATCTAAATGGGTTGTAAATCATAAGACCGTTCTAATTTGGATCTCAACAATTGGTTTCAGTTTTCTTCAAGTGGATTGTCATTCTTAGTTATGACAATTGTAACTTGGATACATTACCTGGGTTTTTGGTTTTGATTTTCTTCAGTGTTTTGTTATTCCCTGTAGAAAGAGATGACTAAGGCAAATATGTAGATTATTGAACTAGTTCAATGTTTCACAGTCTGTAGAGTTCACCATAACTGTTGTCTTATTAATAGAGAACCATGTTCCATTGTGGCAATTGAATCATGTGTTTCTTTCTGTTGTTACACTTCCAGATTTTTTTCTACATACTAACATTTTTGTTGTAATTGTTCAAATGCTTGTGTAATGCCAAAGTTTCTGCAATACAGTGTGCAATGTCTCTCTTTCATTCTGATTTTCCATTTTGTTTTCAAATAGATTAATTTGCACAAAAATTACTCTTTAATTATCTTACAATTTCTATGTAACCATTTTTACAACATAGAGAATGTTTCAGTTTTATACTTTTGAATAGCAATCCTTGCTTTGAAATTTTTTCATTAGTAAAACATTTTGAATGTTACATGTGGAACATTCTATTATTGAGGCTGAAGAAATAAATATATTAAAAAAACACAAAATTTCACCGAAATGTTTCTTTTAGAAGAGTGAGGAAATCTGTTCACTTTTTCAAAGTTCATAGGTAGACTACTTAGATCAGTGTTTCATAGTTGTTTAGTTAGAAAACATCAGACAGTATGTAAATATTGTAATGTGGTTATTTTAGGTTTCCAGATCTATATTAGTATTGATTGTTATGTTACTCTCTCCAGATTTCAAGAAAAGTACCATGCTTAATTTCTCAACTGAAAAAAGAAAACACTTCAGCTGGTGAACAGTTTTTAGAAAGATTTTGTGCTTTGATGCACACTGTCATGTATCTTCACCCAGGTTTCCCCGACCTTTATGATCCTATCTTAGAAGTAATGAAGGTGAGAAAGGTAGACATTTGTCTTAATTTGATATAGTTAACAATGAGGTAAATATGTCTCGGTATTAAGATCACATGACCTTTTTTTATCATTTATAAAATGAAAAAAAATGGTATGAAACTAGGATATGTACCAAAGAATCCTGATCCAATGATCTTATTGTAACATATATAAAAATAACAAAGATGGTATGAAACTAGGATGTGTACCATAATATCCTGATCTCATGACCTTATTGTATCATTTGTAAAAAAAATAATAATGGTATGATACTAGGTTGTGTACCACAGTATCCTGATCTCATGACCTTATTGTATTATTTGTAAAAAAAATAATAATGGTATGATACTAGGTTGTGTACCACAGTATCCTGATCTCATGACCTTATTGTATTATTTATAGAAAAAATAAAGAATGTATGAAACTAGAATATGTCTCATCTTGATCCCATTACCATATTATATCATTCACCACAAAAAAATATGGGTTAAGAAACTAGGATATGTCTTAGTATTTTGATCCCATAATCTTATTACATTATTTATCACAGTAGTATTGAAATCCAGTGACCTTATTGTATAAATTATAAATAAAAATGGTAAGAAATTAGAATATACATCAAAGTATCAGGGTCCAATGACCTTATTGCATCATTCTTATAAAAATAAGAAACTAGGATATGTATAACAGCATTAGAATCCCATGACCCCAGTGTCCTCATTCATACAAACACAGCCTGGCATGATCAGGTGGTTAGTGCACTTGACTTGCAGTCTGAGGGTTGCACAGTAGATTCCCTGTCCCTCTAAACATGCTTGCTCTTTCAATCCCACTAGTTGTTGGTAAAAGAGTCGCCCAACAGTTGGCGGTAGATGTTGGTGACTAGCTGCCTTCCCTCTAGTCCTTACTTCTGAATTAGGGATGGTTAACACAGATAGCCCTCATGTAGCTTTACACAAAATTCACAATAAACCAAACCACAAACATACAAACACTTGTGTAAGAATCACATACTTTTATCTGCACCTCTTTACATGAACATTGTAGTAATCAAATATATATATGAACGCCTTGACTGGAGACACTTTGTCATTTCCTCTTGGTGGTACCATTTTGGCTGGCTTAACCTTGGTTTACTCTTCTGTGCCACCTGACAACCCAAACCTCTTTTCCCATGCCACTTATAAATTATATTGCTTCAATGTCTCCTTTCCATCACAGGATCTTGTCTTTCCACCTTCATGTTTGGATATGTCCAGTCCATTGCCCATTGAACCATACTTTCCCATTTGGTTATCCTTTCATTTCTTATTCCAGGCATCATTCTACCTCATCTTTCTATCTGCCTGGGGAGCATGGCTTTCAATGTTGGTCCACCCATCGCCACCTTCCTATTAATTGTTCAACCATCAAACATCTCCCTTCCTGCTTTTGCTTTTTATTGGGCAGCCTTGTCTTCACCATTTTGCCAGCTCATTATTGCAAGATGTTTCCTTCCCTGTTCTCTCCTCCTTGTTCAATTTTTCCCTTATCAACAGCCACACTTGGCTTGTTCCCATACTTGACCAGGACCTCTGTGTCAACCTGCATTCTCATACTCATGCCCATTCAATTTGATGGCCACTTGTAACTTCTACCACCTTCAGTTCAGTCATATTCCTCTTTCTTCTCACTTGTGGTCAACATTGTTCAAACCTTTATGCGAGCAACTTATCCTATACCTTTTCCTTTCTCCTCATGTTCTTATTTCTCCTGACTGGTCCTTCCTCCCACAGTCTTCAGCCTCTTCCCTCCTCCTCTCTCCCATTCTTCTGTTTCACTCTTGTTTGCTTATTTGGACCCACACAGACTTTTCTGCCCTGTTTGTACCATTCGTTGCTACTTAGCTCGTACATCTTGCTTTTGGGGTTTCTGTCTTCCACTCTACGTTCCTTGGGATTCCCTCTCCTCCAGAGACAAATCTTCTTCTGCTTTTATTGGTATGTTCTGCCAAATTCTTTGTTTGGTCTCCTCATTGAAGTTTATTGTTTGCAGATGGTCCTCATTTTGTCTAATCAGAGGTGTCACCTGTCTGATTCTCTCGTCACTCATTTCCTTCAGTCACTGGACAAGATTATTCAAGCTTGCATATGGAATACCTTGCATCTCTTCACCACCTAGCTGTCTTGTCTCCTAAGGATAACTGCCTGCCTCCATTCATAATCTACCCACCATCTTTAGACAAATGAGTACATTCCACTTTGGTTTATAGCATTTTCTTCCAGAATCTTTCCAGGTGGCTGGTGGTGCCTCCCAGGGTACGTGTATTTCCGAAAATTCCACTTCGAACCAGGATAACACAAACCACTCGTACCATCCATTCTCCCTCCATACATGCCCACTTTATTAGGTGGGGTGTTCTGCAAGCCCACTGATGTATCTTCATGGTATATTTTGATATCTGTCTACTGTTTGATCCAAACTGTGCCTCTTCCATGGACTGTCATGGAAAATTCAGCAACAGGGGCTACTCTGCCTCCTTCCCTCGCTCTCACTTGCTGGCTTTTCAAAGTAGGTTTATGCACTGTGAATTCTCCCCTTTTTTTTTCAAGTAGAGCAAGGGAGGCTCTTACTAGTTCCTAGCTGCTAGGGTGTAGACCATGGAGAACCCTCAATGACTGGGACCTAATAGCTACAGCTAGAGACTGAACACATGGTGCCAGTTGGTGGGAAGTGGGGCAATGGGGAAACTGTCAGTGTAGTTCAGGTTGTCCCTCTTATAATTATACTCATAACATGTCTGCATCCTAATCCTACCATTGTTCTGATGTCAGTTCCTGGGTGGTCTGGTGTTGGATCGGCCAACATAAGTCCTCATACATGTGGTTGGTAGGTATCCTCCTCCCACCAAAGATTGGACAACAAATTGCTGTTGCTGCCTGGTTTTGGACCAGAGTTGACTCACCACATTTCCATTCACCCTTTTTACTGTTCCCCAGATGTCGAGCTACCAGATGGCCTGATGTTGGTTGTGTATTGGGTCTGCACACATATACCCTGCTTGGTTTGTTGGAACAGAAGTTGTTTTTCCCTTCTACTTCCTGGTCATGAGGTGAAGATGGTTGGACGTTCCTCTTACCCCAGACTGGAAGACAAATACCCAATGCTGCCTGGTTTTGGACTGAAGTTGACCCACCAAATACCTGCAGTCATCTCCTGTTCAGTTGAGGGGAGCACTTCCTAATACATCATGCCCTGCTCCTGCAGCAGATGACTGTTTTCTTGAATCAATGCATATACTAACATTATAAAGTCTATGGCATGTCTTCTGTGCACTCTTCCCACAACCAATGTCAATCCAAGAGTCTGGCAGTAGAATTGAGAACAAAACACACTAATACTTCCTGTGTCCTCATCCTGCAGCCAGTTTTGGTACATTAAGTCTGATAGTAGAGTCGTGGTGAGCACTAGGTATGGTCTTAACAAGCCACAACCATGCTACAACTACTGGCTCTCTGACCTCTTGTGTGCAAGTACTCAGGTGGCCATGTTCTTATTCCGCCCATCCCCACAACACCTGGGAGCTTATTTGCCTCTTCCTCTCTTCCAATCTGGACAAAGAGTGTACTCTGGAAGAGATGAAATGCATAATCCTTTGAACATGCCCCTGTGGAGCCCCTGCCATCAGGAGTCACACTCCATGGGTTTTCTTTAGGCATGTTCGAAAGGGAGCTTATCTAGGTAACTTTCTCACTGGTCCCTCCACCATATCAACGTGAGATTCTAGCTTTCTATGTGCATAAGTGTGTACCTCCTCGGAAGTTAACATTTTTTTACCTGAATATGTATTTCTTATAGATACTCATGTCATTACACACATCTAACCCTTCTTTCTCACTTTCAGTGCAACTTAGTATTACTTGCCTTGTCATAGAATGAAGTTCATGAGTGCAAAATCATAGAGGGAGCTAATGCACAGGTTAGCTGTGTTGTCCTCGTATTGGTAGAGGGTTTTTGCTGCATAACATCATTATGCAGTAGTGCAATTCATGATAAATCTTATGAGTTTAGGTGGGTGTTGCCTGAAGGTTAGTAGCATACAAATCTCTAAGGCAGAAGCACGGGAAGGATAGTTTTATGTATGAAGAGGTATTTATTGGAAATATATTTTCAGGTAATGAAAATATCAACTTCTGTAACATACTGTAGATGTATTCATGAGTGAGAACTTACTTTAATATCAATTGTATATACTATATTCTAGATTAATTCAAGAGAATTTTCTTTAACATTAGTGTATTTAATCCTGTTTCTCCATTTTGCAGAGTAGATGTCATACATTTTTGTCACCTTGTAGAAATTAGTATCTTGTGAAGGGTTGAAACTGTAACATGTGCTGACTGTATCATAAGAAGGGTTGAAACTGTAATGTATTTTCTGTATCTTGTGAAGGGTAGAAACTGTAACATGTGCTGACTGTATCTTGTGAAGGGTAGAAACTGTAACATGTGCTGACTGTATCTTGTGAAGGGTTGAAACTGTAATGTACTTTTTGTGTCTTGTAAATGGTTGAAGCTGTGACATGTACTGACTGTATCTTATGAAGGGTAGAAACTGTGACATGTACTGACTGTATCATATGAAGGGTAGAAACTGTAATGTGTATTGACTATGGTGTGGGGGTAGAAACTGTAACATGTACTTTTTGTGTCTTGTAAATGGTTGAAGCTGTGACATGTACTGACTGTATCTTATGAAGGGTAGAAACTGTAACATGTGCTGATTGTATCTTATGAAGGGTAGAAACTGTGACATGTACTGACTGTATCATATGAAGGGTAGAAACTGTAATGTATTTTCTGTATCTTGTAAAGGGTTGAAGCTGTGACATGTACTAACTATATTTTGTGAAAGATAGAAACTGTGTAATTGCTGAGTGTATTTTGTGAAGGGTCAAAAGTTGGAACATTTACCAGCTCTACTATTAGTTATGTTAAGCTCTTAGTGATTGACTACAAAGTATTTGACATTTTATTGTCTTGTTTGCAGGACTCTGAAGCTCCTAGCTTGGAAAAGATGCATAACTTATTGACTGAAAACCAGTGGGGTATCTTAGATCAGAAATATGTTATTGGTGGAGAAGTTGGCACTGTTAATAGCTATATTAATTGTCTGAGGTCTGAAACAGGCATGACTGGTTTGATGAACTTAGGAAATACATGCTATATGAACAGTGTCCTTCAAGCTCTGTACATGACAGAAAGGTGAGTGTCTTTGTATGTAGGTTAGACGCACATTAGTGGTGGAAGAGGGTGTGATATTAGGATCTATGTTAGTTGTTTGAGGTGTCAAGCTGGCATGGCTGATGTAATCAACTTAGGAAGTAGTTGTTAATAAAGAGTGCTCTTCATGACTCATGTCAAATGTTTCAATATTATCATACAATTTATAAAAAAACAAACAAACAAGTAACAAGAGGAATATCCAAAGAGTCTAAGGTCAACTTTAGAATGCTGTTGTTATGCAAGCAAAAAAGAGGACCCAAAGTTACCAAGTTTTGGAAATACAATATGAAATACAGACTTCGTTGCATAGAGAGTCATGGAAAGATTAATTTGTTATCAAGTACGTGATATACTGTGTACAGCAAGAGCTTTTATACACTTATGGTTTGTTGGGGATTCTCTTCACTCCATGATGGTTATTAGGGATTTTTTTCACTCCCTGGTGGTTTGTTAAGGATTCTCTTGACTCCATGAAAGTTTGTTAGGTATTCTCTTGACTCCATTTAAAAGATATAAATAATAATATCATGGTATGGCTAATTATTTAGATTCGTGAGATCAGTGTAATTAGTATTTGTAACAATTATGTCATTTAGGTACAGTTTATATTTAAATTATTTCACATTAACTTTTGGTGGAAGCAAACTACCTAGATAGACCAGAATGGAAAACCCAGTGGATAATATAACTAGTTTAATATGTCACTCTAACTAAGAGTATGATGAAAACTTGTAATTAGTAGGATTTTATCTGTAAAATATGCAGTAACTCTTTAAAAATAGCTTGTATGAGACGTGTAAACCTATTGAATGTGTTCCATCTTGTTGGAAAAAACGTGCTTGAGCAAACATGAGGCCACCACTGTTGATTGTGGCTCCACACAGTTGGAAAAGAAAGATTGCTTGGGAAGTCATCTGTTAATTAAAATTTTGGAAATTTCTCCAGTGTACTTACATAATTCATACGACTAATAGTTCTTTTAACCAAATCAAATGACTATGAACGATGAAGTTTTTCAAGGTATATCACACATAGTGTGAGATTATTACAGCTTTTCTCTACCTAAATTTGAATATTTAAAACTGTGTCAACGTGATATCTTGAAACTATCTGTGTCACCGAAACTTGTAATACCAAATATATTTCATCATTTATGGTAGATTTAAACATTTCCCAATACTTTCTAAGCATTGCAGGTTTATCACAGATTTATTGGTAGAATTAAGCATTTCTTAATAGTTTGTTAGCATTACAGGTTTACCACAGATTTTAGGGTAGAATTAAGCATTTCCAAATAGTTTCTTAGCATCACAGATGTATCGTAGATTTTATAGTAGAATTAGCAGTTTCTCAACATTACAGGTTTTTCATAGATTTTATGGTAGAATTAGCAGTTTCTCAACATTACAGGTTTTTCATAGATTTTATGGTAAAATTAGCAGTTTCTCAACATTACAGGTTTTTCATAGATTTTATAGTAGAATTAGCAGTTTCTCAACATTACAGGTTTTTCATAGATTTTATGGTAGAATTAGCAGTTTCTCAACATTACAGGTTTTTCATAGATTTTATGGTAGAATTAGCAGTTTCTCAACATTACAGGTTTTTCATAGATTTTATAGTAGAATTAGCAGTTTCTCAACATTACAGGTTTTTCATAGATTTTGAGCTATGAAAAGTTATGGTATTTCTGGCATTTCAATTTTTTTCCAGTTTTACTGTTGTTACTTGCAGCTTCACTCAATGTCATACCAATGTTGAATGGCATCCTGTGCAATATATAAATTTGGCAACCTACGACCCAACCAATTAGTTATCTTAGTTAGTCAGTTGGGTATTCAGCACCCACTTGGAATTGGTACTTTGTGCAAAAGCATTTCTTGCTCTACCCATGATACAGACTTGGCTTCACTTGTATGAAGTTTTGCTTTAAACCATTTTACTGAAATGCTTAGTCGCATTTATTTAGTTTTATAATAAAAGGTTAAATATCTGCAATACTCTCTTGTTTTGCATTTGGTTTTGTAGTTGAAGAAAGAGTGAATATCTGCAATACTCTCTTGTTTTGTATTTGTTCTTGCAGATAAGAAAGAGGTGAATATCTGCAATAATCTATTGTTTTGTTTTCAGTCTTGTAGAAGAAGAAAGGGGTGAATATCTGCAATACTGTCTTGTTTTGTATTCAGTCTTGTAGTAGAAGAAAGGGGTGAATATCTGCAGTACTGTCTTGTTTTGTATTCAGTCTTGTAGTAGAAGAAAGGGGTGAATATCTGAAATACTTTCTTGTTTTGTATTCAGTCTTGTAGTAGAAGAAAGGGGTGAATATCTGCAGTACTGTCTTGTTTTGTATTCAGTCTTGTAGTAGAAGAAAGGGGTGAATATCTGCAATAATCTCTGGTTTTGTATTTAGTCTTGTAGTAGAAGAAAGGGGTGAATATCTGCAGTACTGTCTTGTTTTGTATTCAGTCTTGTAGTAGAAGAATAGGGTGA